GTCCCAGTGGGAGTTGAACCCTACACTGACACACCTCTCACTTCTCACCCCACCCCTCCCTGTGACACAGGCTTTGCCAGCCTTGACTTTGCTCTGGAATTTCTAAAGGTGTTTCCCTCTAAGAGATGTTCAAAGTATAAGAATGAGGACAATGCCCTCAGGATAACATTATGCCCGTGCACACCTCACCGAGCTGGCAAAACCTGCCTCTGCCTGGTTCAGGCATTGCCCTCTCAATAACCTCAATAGCAGGAATCCACCCAAGTAGGAAGGGAGGCCTCTCTGCACCCTCTGTGATCCAGAGAGGGAGGGAGACCCAGAACAGAGCCTCCACTGCTGGACAAGGAGTCCCACACTAGGCAACAGGCCAAGCACAGCCCTGCATCACCACCCACCGACTGTCAGTCCCTCCTCACACAGGAGGCCTGGCATGAGTGAGCAGCCAGGGTAGACAGTCACCCCAGCCTGGCAGGGCAGGGGCTGTGGAAGGGCCACACCAGGGCCATAGCCAGGTCCCAAATCTCTGCTCTTGGGGGCAGGTGGAAGATCAGAGCTACATTGTTTCCATCTAAATTGCTTAGATTCTCCCTGATCTATGGATACCCCCACCTTCTTCCCAAAAGGGTTTCAGGAGGCCTTCAAATCCTGCAGAAGAGAGTTCAAAGTGAGGAAGAGCTGGAAAGAAGGCACCTGCAGGATCCTGCTGGGGCTGCCTGTGCTCCACCTTCTCACCACTGCCCGCTGGCAAACTGGGCCACCCGGCTCAAGACAGCACGGAGAATCAGAGACAGCTTCTCTAGGGCACCCCTCCATGATGCCTGGTCTGCCCAGGCCCTTCTGAAGCTCAAGTGGAGACAGGGGCAGCAGGTCTCCCAATTACCCTGGTGGCCTCTTCAAGCCTGAGTCCTTCAACTCACAAGACACCTGCCCTGGAAGACAGGGGCAGTTCTCTGCGTAGGACTGTGGTAGGGGAAACGGGGTACCTCGCAGAGCCTGAGGTGCTAGCCGGTGGTACTACAGGAAGACGGGCAGCTCGTCATAGGATAGGTCTGCTGTGAGAAGGAGGGGGGCCTCCTCCAGGAGGAGACCTTAGACAGGTGGTAGGACTCTCCAGGAGACTGGGGCAGCGGGTACAGCGTGGGGTGAAAGGCAGGAGGCACCAAGGGGCAAGCGTGGACACCCCAGGAAAAATGGGCTTTCACAGAGAAGGGCGCCCAAGTTAACCCAGAGCGTCCACGAGTCGCCTGGCTCAAAGCCCTGACGTACGCACGCCCCCAGATCCCCCTGAGTCGGCCACTAGGGTCAGCGCAGGCCGCTAGCGGCCCCACAGCCGGCCCCTCGGGCGTGTCTAATAGCAAGCGACACAGTCCGCCGCGATCCAAAGTCCCCTTTAAAAGTTTGCCCCTAGACAAAACCCCTCTCTCCGCCTCGCCGTGGGAATCGGAGCCATCCCCGGAGGAGCCTCTGAGGACAAGCGCGGTTGCCCTCCTCCACCCCTTCGGAAACAACAATGGGCACACGGGACGGAAGAGAACGAGGGAATCAAGCGTGGAAAATCCCCCAGTCTTGCAATGTCAGCCGCCGGTCGCAGGGCCCGCCAGGGGCCGCTGTGCTGCCCCCGCGCGCCCTTCCACAGGATTGCACGCCCGGGGCGGGGGCGGGGGGGAGCGTTGAGGGTTGATCTCCTGGTTCTCAGATTCTAAGGGCTCGTGGCGCGTGGCGCGTAGGGAGGGAAAGCTTGCGTTTCAGTTCCGAGGCTATTTTAGATGCAAAAGAAATTTCATTTCATTACCAAAGCCGAAATCGTAGCGCGCCTTACACTTTCCCGGAGCAGAAGTAAAATGACTTGTTTTTATTTGATCATCGCATCCTACCACTAAACGTGTTCTTTCCCTTTTCTTCAACATTAAATCAGAGATCATACATTAAAGAATTTATGAAGCGGATATTCAGAGAACAAAGATAGTCACAGAGCAGAAGAGCTGCAATTGCTTTTCCCTGAACTCTGAAAATATTCAGGGCTGGGCGCTGCCTCCAGCAAACAAATAGCCTTCCTATACCGACATCCAATCTTAAGAGGGTGGGAAAGAAACCTTGGCTACCCACAGGTCAAACAGTGAGAGAATGCAGACAGAAGGGAAGAGGACCTACTGAAGTCCCCGCTGTGCTGGAACCTCACTTGAATCCACATCTCCCTTTCAATGTGTGTGTTTCTGCCAATTTGTCAGAGATGACACGGAGGGCTCAACAACACACACAGAAGGTTGAGAAAACCCCCAGTCGGCAAGGGTTAGCCAGACAGTGTCTGCATTCCATCCTGTTCCCAAATGTCGACTGACTTTTAGGATCAGTGGCTCATCTGACTTGACTTTGAGATAAGAGAAAATCATCTACAGCCTTGGGGTCTCACAGTGCCAGTGCAGCACTTAAATCAAAGGGGAAAATTGAGTAAAATCCTGGAGGCAACTAGAACTTTCTTCCTCCTAAGAGAATTCTAGGAATAAAAGCTTTCCTGCCTAAATAGGTGGTTTCCTATAAGCTGTCCTGGCAAAGTACAAAGCTGGGTTAAACAGCTTCCCTGATGGAAGCACCTGGGCCTCAGTTTCCCCATTGGGACACTGAGATTGTCACAAGATGGGACCCTAGGCCAAGCACAGATGGGTTTAGTGGCCTTTCAATAAAACTTCAGCTCTCTCTTGAACACTCTGCACCCACATCCCTATCTGGCAGCAGATAGTCACTGGGAGCTGAGGAGTGGCCTCTCACTGCCCCCAATCAGCCTTGGCATCTGGTCTGGGGGAGCTGAGAGGAGTACGGGGTGAATAAGGGCTGGACTCTGAAGCCAGACAGCCCAGGATCAGAATTTTGACTATCATAAGAGTGAGAGGAGCTTGGCCCACCCTGTGGCCTCCATGCTGGGCCCAGATACTCAGGCCTCAAGGGATGAGTGTGACCATGGGCAGGCTTTTGCTCAAGCTTTATCCACCCTGCTGTTGTGGGTCAAGCAGAGGTAGCACCCGGAGAAAGATGGTGACTGGTCACTACCAGTCAGCCATGTGACCTTCTGTTTACCCCTCTGAACCTCAGTTTTCTATTCTGTGAAATGGGCATTATAGTCTACTCCACAGGCTTGCCAATGGGATTGAGTGCCTAGTACTCAGTAGTTCTAGATAAAGAGCATCCTCAGTTATGATTTACTACTTGATAGAGGACTGTCATCTGGGTAAGGCTGCCTAATGGTTTGACCCAGGGTGGTCCTGCCCTCCATGTCTGGGCTGCTGCCTTCAGGCCCATGAAGGGAAACTCCCCAGGCCTCAGACCAAAAAAAAAAAAAAAAAAAAAAAAAAGTGTCAAGTAACTGCAGGCAGAGGCCGGCACCTCCGGGCATAACACTGGGTCAGCCCCCACTCCTGGAAAAAGTGAATCATTGCTGGGGAAGGCTGGGCCAAAATGCCCCCCGGCCTCTCCTGGCCAGGATCAGTTTTAAAGCAGCTTCAGTGTTGGCAGGGGCTTTGGGGCCCAGGGTCACACCTGGACTTCCCACGTCACCCCCGGCAGTTCCATGTCACTCTGTATTGTGTTCAGAGTGCTGCACAGGCCTGTCCAGAGCTGATGTTCCTTCAGCCCCCTTGAAAACTAAATGATCCCCTCTTAGTCGGGTTTTGGGGTGTTAATTGTTGTGTTTCCAGTTCTCTGGGTTTGTTTCCAAGAGGGCTTTCTGATGTAGTTTTTTAGTTTATTGAGGTATACTCGACACAAGAAGCCCGTATCAACCCTCCCCTCCCATCCCACCACCCAGACATGCTCTCAGGACCCGCACAGAAGGAAGGAAACAGGGGGTGGTGGGAGCATTTGAACCCATCCCAGGTGCTATTCTGGCAGGTCATTTCACCTCTCCATGGAGGTGCCACAGCCTCCGACACAGTCAAGGGCCAGGGCCCTGACTTTGGGATGTGGCATACCCAAAACCCAGGGGCCAGGTGGGGGGCCTTCTGCTGAGGAGCTGGGCACCTGGCCCAAACTGGAAGGCGTAAGCAAACACTGCACGACAGGGCCAGGAAGCCGGAGGCACCCACGAGGGCGCCAGCGAAAACAGGCACAGGCCCGGGGCTGCCAGACCCTCTGACTGACCTCCCAAAGACCGAATTGGAAAATTTTTTGTGGACGTTCACAATTTGAAATACTGGCTCAACTCTTTATAACTTTTTTCATTAGGTTTATAATAAACCCGGAGGGGGAAAAAAGCACACTAGCTGAAATTCTTTTCAAAGAAGAAGACTGCGTGTAGCTGGGCCGAAGACCTCTTCGAGACACCTCATTATCTCTCCAAGGGGAGCTCCGGGTCATTGTCCCAAAGCCATGAGGCAGGGGCATACCGATTGCGGGCGCGCGCCCCGGGCTCTGCGCCCCCAGCCCTCCCTTATCTTCCCGTCGCCCGGGCCCCACTGCCCCCAGGTCCCACCAATCACAGCCCGGTCCTTTCGCATTTGGAACTCCAGAGCGCCCCTCGTGCAAGGTCAGTGGGTTTCCTCCGGAGAAACACGGAAAGGGGTATTCCACCCGCAGCCGGGACTTCCGGGGGGAGGAGGACCCAGGTGCCAGGGGTGCCGGTTGCTGTGCGCCCCGCTCTAGCCCAGAAGGGCCGCCCGCACCCTTGTTCCCTAGTTCCCTAGTCGCTCCCCGCGACTCTCGTACAGGAAACGGTTCCCAGTCGGCGGCGGCCGGCCTCGGAGCGTTCCGGCCACAGCCACAGACCCGGATCCCAGCTCCCAGCACCCGCCTGAAGCCCCGCGAGCTCCAGGAGGCGGAGCAGAGGATCGGCGCGGGCGACAACGGCAAGAGGCGCCGCGGGGGCGGGCCGGGGGCGGGGCGGGGCGGGGCGGCGGAGGACTGCGGAGACGCGGCGGCGCGCGGGGCGGCGCAGAGCGTTCTCGGCGCTGCGCGGAGCGGAGTGACCGGCACTGGGTCGCAGGGGGCGCGGGCTGGGGCCGGGGCCGGGGCAGGGGCCTGAGCGGAGCCGGAGCCGAGCCCCGGGTCGGGCCCGGGGAGCCGGAGCCGGGGCCGGGCGAAGAGCAGCCATGGCGCCGCGCAGGGCCGGGGCCCGTGCCGTTGCGGGCGGCCTGGGCGCCGAGTAACCGGGCCGGGCCGGAGCGCGGGCGGCGGCGGCGGCGAAGGCAGCTGCGCCCGCGCCCCCCGCCCTCCCAGGCCCCGCGCCCCGCGCCGCCGGCGATGGTGACACATGCGGCGGCGGCGCGCCGGCGGCAGGACCATGGTTGAGCGCGCCAGCAAGTTCGTGCTGGTGGTGGCGGGCTCAGCGTGCTTCATGCTCATCCTGTACCAGTACGCGGGCCCGGGGTTGAGCCTGGGCGCGCCTGGCGGCCGCGCGCCGCCTGACGACCTGGACCTCTTCCCCACACCCGATCCGCACTACGAAAAGAAGTACTACTTCCCGGTGCGCGAGCTGGAGCGCTCGCTGCGGTTCGACATGAAGGGCGACGATGTGATTGTCTTCCTGCACATCCAGAAGACTGGTGGCACCACCTTCGGCCGCCACCTCGTGCAGAACGTGCGCCTCGAGGTGCCCTGCGACTGCCGGCCCGGCCAGAAGAAGTGCACCTGCTACCGACCCAACCGCCGCGAGACCTGGCTCTTCTCCCGCTTCTCTACGGGTTGGAGCTGCGGGCTGCACGCCGACTGGACCGAGCTCACCAACTGCGTGCCGGGCGTGCTGGACCGTCGCGACCCCGCCGCGTTGCGCACACCCAGGTGAGCGCCCGGAGCGACGGGGTCCCAGCTGGCGGCGGCTGCCCCGGAACCGTGCCCCCGCTGGGCTGCCCTGGGCCCGCTCTACCTTCCTTGCTCTCCCTGCCCTCGTTTCCTTTTCTCTTGGGGCCCCCACTCGCCACAGCCTCTCTGGAACCCCTCCCGAACTGCTGGGCGCCCGGAGCTTTCAATTCATCTGCTGCGGCCCGTTTTCACCCTGCCCTCTATTTTCACCCTTTCCACCTCCTCGCCTTTCAACTTCTCTCCTCCACCACCCTCGCCTCCCAGGTTGTGCAGTGTCTGAGCTTCCCTCGGGTCACAGCCCATTATCCTGGGGCTGTCACTTGCCTTGTCCCATGGGCCAGTGTAAAATCTGGCCCGCCCCTGCTGTGGGTCCGGCTGGCCTGGTGTCGTCTGGCGGGAAAGTGGGTTCTTTTGCGTGTGTAGCCCACCTGGAATGTTCGCTTACCTTGGCGGCTTACGCACCCGGAGCGGAAGTAAGCGAAGTGAAGTGCCTCTCCCCCTGCACCTGTGAGCAAACCTCCCCCCCCCGCCCCCGCCCGCCGCCATCCTGCCTGGAGAGGGCAGGAGAAGAGCTGACAGGGAAAGGGGTGGGCTCTGCCTGCCGGCGTGTGCAGGTAGAACAAAGGCCTGAGTGTGACTTGGGGCTGGGGGCAGGGAGGAGGCAGTGCTGCCTGCCCTCACCAGTTGGGCCAGAACCGGTTGCAAGCTCTCTCTGAACGAGGAGCAAAAGCAAACCGACTGCTAGATTGGGGGAGCTGAGTTGGTCAGAGGTACCCATTCAATCACTTTCCTTGGTTGCCCCCCATTTCTGTGGAGGTTGGAGTTCCAGGCTGACTGTGGGGGGGGGGGCAGCTCTCCTGGGAAGCACTTTGTAACCACAAACCTTCGTAACCACAACCTTTATAACCACAACCAGAGGGCAGGCTGGGTTTTCAGAGCTTAAAATTTGGACTCTTTATTCCTGTTCATATTGGTGCTTTGGGGCCTTCTCCCCGTGATATCTGGGCTGGGAAGGGACAGGAATGAGGTCTTCTTGCCTATCTTTTGTTTATCTTCTCTATTTGTCTTAGGACTGCACTTACAGACAGGCTGGGGGTGGGGGAGATTCTGTGAATCGAGTAGGTATGTTTGTTGGCACTCTTCTGGGTCAAGACGGGGCAGGGTCTCTGGTGTGTTTGGGGGATAAAGGTTGAGGATCTGGCCAGTCCACAGTTAAGCGTGGTCCATGGCATTGCTGTCCTGCTCAGTTCTTCAGTCCTCTTGTGGTCTTCCCATACTGCCAGGAAATTAGGGCGCTGGAGGTAGGGTCAGAGTACATCTTACTTTCTCTTGGCTGCCCCACCCCCTGCCCCCAGATGGCAGCTGCGAGCCTGTGAGGTGGTGTTACAGGTCTCTTAATTCTCCACTGGTAACAGATCTACCATCCCAAAGCCTTTAAAGTCTTGCTTCCTGTTCAGCATTTGGTCTACTCTGCATGAGTGCATTTTTCTGATGTAGTGCCCACCTCCCACCCCTTTGCCCTCGTGGTCAGCCACTCTATGCTCTACTGAGCCAGGGTCTGGGGTTTGCAGCTGCTGGCCCACCAAGACTGTAGTCCCCCAGAACTGGGCACTAACCAACCCAAATAGGCCCAGGGGGGCACCTCCCTGCCTGCAGGAGTGGGGATGGGAGTAAGTACCATTCTGTCTGCCAGAGGGAATTAGCCTGGGAGAATCCCAGAGGGAACAATGTGCGGAACTTGTTCAGGGGGCTGCCAAGACCAGGACACTCTTTCTGCCGTCTGTCTCCTGAGGCTGTTTCCCTTTGTGTCACCAGAATGAAGGGCCCCTGACCTTCCTTTTCTGGAGTTTGTCCACCAGAGCAAGAGCCTAGCCACACTTTCAGAGAAGAGTCGGGAGACCAAGTGCAGCAGACAGGGCCCCCCTATGTCGCATGAGGGAGGCCCAGCACCCGCTCCTCAGGGTGGGCGTGTGTAGCAAGAATAGAAAATGCCTGCCTAGTCAGCCGGATGCCTCTTGCTATGGTGGGCTGCCAGCCCCTCCGCCTGGACGTTGCTGAGCTCAGCAGCATGCAGGCCAGGTGGAGGCAGGGTTTCCAGGGTCCTCAAAAGGCCCTCTCCTGTGCCATGAGGCAGGTGACAGAGCTTCATCTGTGCTGTTCTCCCCCACTCCCTTCATTTCTGTTCCAGAGGCTAGATAGATTGCTTTTTTGATGAGCTTTGCTGACAGGCAGGGTCATCTAGGCTTTGTGTGTTTATAAGCCCATCTGACTAAGGTTTACCTGCTGAGTGTTCCTGTAGTCTGGGACTGGACCAGGGTGCTTTTGAAGATAGGGATACAGTTCTCCCACCTGCCCCAGGGAGCCCGCACCACTCTGGACAACTATTGTCAGTGCCGAGATTCCATGGGATGCCTGGTTTCAGGAGCCCCAGATGTCACCCTCGCCCTCCTCCCAGAAGACTATGGCTTGTTCTCCTTCATGGCCCTGTGAGTGCTGGAGTGACCACTTGACTGGGTAACTGAGGAGAGGATGGGCCTGGCTCTGAGAGCCACTCTGACAGGTCCCTGGGGATCTGGGCTTAGGGTGAAGACCTTTCCTTCCTCCCTGGTCCTCAGGGCCAGGCATGTCTCAGGGCGTGAACAAATGCTCCCCTGCCATGAGGAGTGCTTCTAGAAACTGCATCAAGCCTCTCCCAACTCCTGGTGCTAGTGTCTGTGGTACTGGGGGGCCTAAGAGAGGCAGGCCTTGTGACTCAATGGAGTGGGGCTTTCCATGGCTTCAGAATCTCTCCATCACACAGCATCAGCCTTGGGGGTTCTAGCTGGGCAGGTGTTGTGGTGACGAACTTCAAGGTGGGGAGATGTACCTTCCTGGAATACAGTTTGCAACTTCTAGCAGTGTTTAGTACTTCCTAAGTTGAAAGAGAGAAAAAGGTGTATGAGCAACGCATCAGTAGGTCCCTGTTATATGGCCTGTGTCCACTGAGGGGGCTGCCACACCTGCTCACATCAGCCAGTGTACTTGAAAGGCCTCCAAGAAGGACTGACTTTGCAGTAGTGAGGCTGCCCAGAGGCAGCTGGCAAGTGGCTGGCCAGCTGTTGTCAAGGACCACTTCGGTTAGTGTCTCTGCACCCCATGCTCTGTCTCATTTGGTAGAGTCAGGATGGTTCTTCTAACGGCCAGAATGTCTCTCCTTCTTCTCCTCATCTGCCTAAAGGGGACAGAAGAGGAGACATGGTTGAGGTCTAGCCTGGATGGTCCTCGAAATTCCTGAAATTGTGTAGGCTTCATCTGGAGCCACCAGGAGCATTTGGGTCCCCAGTATTGCTTCCAGGCCACTTCCATGTGGTGTTGGGCTTAGCCAGACCCTCTCTACAGCAGGGCCCCCCAGGAGCCCCTGGTGGGTTCCCAGCATCTGTGATACTGCTGTGTGGGAGCCCTAGAATCGATGGCTTGTGCCCTCTCAGTGCCCAGCCTCATTTCTGGTCATATACCCTCCACGAGGCTGATTTCCTCTGTGTTCCAGAAATCTGCCAGTGCTCTCAGCTCAGCCTTTGCTACCTTCTGCCCCAGCATGCTGTCCTCTCTTCCCACTCCTCTGCTGGCTTCTCTCTACCCTTCAGCCTCTGCTTCCCCTTCCTCTAGGAAGACTTCCCTGGCAGCATCCTGTTGCCTTAGATGCCCTTGGCCATCCTGGCATGTCCACAGCATCTGGCACTGGCCGGATGCTGAGTGGGTACTGCCCACGTGTTGGCACCAAGTAGAATGTTCTCTTCCTGGCCCCACACCCTCTCCAGGAGCTGTGCCCCTCCATGAGTCCTCTAGTGAATGAGATTAAGAGTCAGCCTTGAGTGCAATGCTGGTCCCAGAGGGCCTCAGGGGCCCCTCAGCGGGCTCAGCCAGGTTGGGCAGAATTAAGATTCGGGCATTTTTGTAACAGTTCTTTCTGTGGCACTCAACAGTTTCCTACTTGCCTTCACAGTTACTCTCTCATACGTGATCAAGGGACAAGGCCTGCATTTGCCTACACTGGGGCAGATGTTACCTAGAGCACATGATTGGAACCCATGAATGGGGCCCAGCCACTTAAGGGACCAGGTTGGGTGTCACCATGGCCTGAACCATCCAGGGAAGCCTTGCATGGAGATGAGGGGAATGTGAGGTCAAGGTGTTCAGAATTAGATTTTCATTCATAGTCAAAACAAAACACATCTTTTTTTAAGGCAAATGCATGAGAAGGCAAACTTTCGAATAGCTTACTGACGATTATGTTAAATGGTGCTCTGGCTTGTGAGGTTATCTGGGTAACTCATGTTTTCTTTAAAGCACTGAGGACTTGCAAGACCAGGGCTTCCTGTCCTTCTAGGCCCCTCACTTATAAAACCTGGAGCCATGCAGAGTGGGCTGGACCACTGTGCTGTAGTGGGCTAGCTCTGATCTGCAGACTGTCTGCTCCCAGGTCAGAGAGCCTTTCCCAGGGGGCCCAGCTCCTACCCCTGGGGTCTGTGAGGCCCCTCGTCTTTTTCTTTCTTTCTCAGTTGGCAGTGTGAGAGATTCAGCTGCTGTACTTGGGGAGTGGCAGGCGGTCAGCGGAGGCCTGGCTTTGTCATCCTTAAGGGACTCTGAGTCTTTTTCTTTCACATCTCATTCTTTTGTTGTTGTTGTTGTTGTTGTAATAATTATGTGATAATTGGGAGGAAAACATAAAAAAGAAAACTGTATTCCTCACACATACTTTTTTTTTATTATAATTGAAACCATAATGTAAATTCCCCATAAATGTTTTTTCTTATTAAAAACTTAATATTTTAGTAGCTGCAGACGACCCCCCTCTGGGTGCTTTGTTAGTTCTGCTGTGTTGTTGAACGTGCAGATTTCCCATTTCTGGCTCCTGTAAGTAATGCTGGAGTGAGTGTCCTCGTGTGTAAATGTTTTCCGTAGCTCTGATTTCCTTTCTAAGCTCGTAGGAGAGGGATTTC